TAAGATATGACAAAATAATAATAATTTATAAATTATCAAGGGTTCATGAGGGAGGGGGGAGCGGGGAGGAAGGGGAAAAAATGAGGAGCTGATACCAAGGGCTCAAGTAGAAAGCAAATGTTTTGAGAATGAGGAGGGCAACAAATGTACAAATGTGCTTGACACACAATCGATGGATGGATGGATGGATGGATGGATTGTGATAAGAGTTGTGAGAGCCCCCAATAAAATGATTTTTTTAAAAAGCCAACTCCAGTTTGAGTGATCCCCTTGGAGGAAACGGCACCTGTGCAGGCCCTTGCTGAGAGAAAGGTTGTGCATGAGGGCAGACACCTAAAGGAAGGTATGACCCGCAGAGACCTGCACGTGCCAAGGTCCGGAGCACAACCAGAAGAAACAGAGATGTGCCGACGAGCGAGGAGAGATCATGCAGGTACCAGCTCGTGACGCTATAGTCAGAATTTCAGATTTCAGTCACTCGAGGATTTAAGCAGAGATGGTAAGATCACATTTTTGATTTTAAGAGGCTATTCTGTCTTTTGTTTAGAGAATGAAGTCAGCTAGGACACATATGCATTAAAACAAACCAGGGGTCAGTAAATCATTTCTGCAAAGACCAGATAGCAAATATTTCAGACTCTACAGGCTAGAGGAAGGCACAATTTTCAATTCTGCCTTCGCAGTGCAAAAGCAATCACAGATACATGGATAATCGAGTATTATAATAAACAAGGGGAATGGCCCTGCTGCGAGAAGGCTCTGTGGTGGCCAGCAGGCCACACTTTGCCTATCCTTCAACTAAACAACAAAGAAGGCTGGTGGATGTGAGGGGAGAGAGGAATGAAGAGATTCTAGATAAAATTTGGTGATGAAGCAAAGCTTGCTCGTGGATTAGATGTAGTTGTAGAGTTTAAGGCCATCTAGGAGCCATGCAGGTGTAGTGGTTAAGCTCAAGGTCAGCTGTTCAAAAACACCGGGCACTCCTGTTCCGTAAAGAGGAAACTATAGAGGCGGTTCTACCCTACCCTACAGGGCCATCATGTGTTGGAGTCGACTAATGGCAATGAGTTTGTTTTCAGGATTATAGACACATACACACTTTTGAGAATGTTGAATTCATATGAATATCATGGATTTTATGAACCTGCTACTCAAAAAAGCTTTTCTTTTTTTTTTCAGTAATAGTCTTTAACTCAGATGTTTTGCCCAAACTGACCTTTGCATTAAACTTAATTATTGGGATCTCGCCTGCATGTGTTCCACTACATCAGATCAGCCCCGTCCTCCAGTATTTAACATTAACCACAGCGGGCAGCAACCAATACTGACCGGCTGTAGCTCATCCTGCGGGAGGTGGCTGCCCGCAGGCTCATCACTGGGAAGGAAATGCCAGGCCTCCTTTGAGGAAGGAGACACCGTGAAGAAGTAGCAAAGAGAAGAAACACCAGGGGGCTTCAAAAAGTTTCTAGGGGGAAAATATCCATGATCTATCTCTTTTCTTTTTCAACACACTTTTTGAAGGCCCCTAAAAGAGTACGTAGGCCTAATAGAATGACCTATCCAACGGACGACTGTCCTATCACTCAACCAGCACTAACAACCATTCTGAAAGGAACACAATAGATGGTCCTGGTTGGTGTTGTTGTTAGGTGTCGTCTACTTGGTTCTGACCCACAGCAACCCTATGCACAGCAGAACAAACCACTGCCCAGTCCTGCGCCACCCTTGCAACTGTTCCTATGCCTGAGAGCACGGGGCAGCCAGCGTGCAATCCCTCTCACTGAGAACCTTCCTCTCCTCTGCCCTTCATTGACCACCATGATGTCCTGCTCCAAGGCTGCTCTCTTCTGACAACATGTCCAAAGCATGGAAGACGAAGCCTTGCCATCTGCCTCCAAGAAACACTCTGCTTCCAGGGAGACAAAAGTCAATTCTCAAAGGGTCAAGACTTAATGGGCCATTTGAGACTACTAGCCTGAGGTACCCTTTAAACTTTGAGTGGAAACTACTCCTGGAAATCCCATTTCTGCTAATAACACACTGGCTCATGGAGTAGTAGCACCCACGAGTACATCCTCCTTTTGAGAAACCATTTCTATGGGATCAAATGGTCAACATTTACTCCAATGAAAATATAAGAAATCATAGAAGGGCAGGGAAACAAGATTAATGGGAATGGAACAACCAGAACAGAAATAATGAGAATTTTAACACATTGCAAAATAAAATTTAACCAGTAACACCAAACAATGTATATAGAAATGGTTAAATAGAGACCGAATTTGCTACAAAACAGTTCACTGAAAACACAATACGTAAGAGAAGGAAATTAAACAACATACTTCATTGGGCTAAAGGACTTTTTTTTTTTAAATAACCATTTTATTAGGGGCTCATACAACTCATCACAATCTATACAAAAGTCATCTGTGTCCAGCACTTTAGTGCATATGTTGACTTCATCATTCTTATGACACCCACTTTCTACTTGAGCCCCTGGTGTCAGCTCATTTCCCCCCTCCCTCCCCATTCCTCCCTCCCCCCGAGCCCCTGATAATTTATAATTATTTTATCATATCTTACCCCATCCCACATCACCCTCACCCACTTCTCCGCTGTCCGTCCCCCAGGGAGGAGGCCACATGTAGACCTTGTCCTCTGTTCCCCCTTGCTCCCTCTCCTTCCCTCCACCCTCCCTATATCGCCATTCTCACCACTGGTCCTGAGGGGTTCATCTGTCCTGGATTCCCTGTATTTCCAGTTCCTATCTGTGCCAGTATACATCCTCCAGTCCAGCTGGATATGTCAGATAAAATTGGGATCATGATAGTGGGGTGGAGGAGGCATTTAAGAACTAGAGGAAAATTGCATATGTCATCGTTATTACACTGCACTCCGATTTGCTCCTCACCTCCCCGCAGCCCTTCTGTAAAGGGATGTCCAATTTCCCCCGATGGGCCCTGGGTCCCCACTCTGCACTCTACTCATTCACAATGTTATGATTTTTTTTAAAGTGTTAAAAATCAAAGCTGTAACTTTGATAACTAAGTGGTGTTTCATTCAAGTCACGGTAGATTGGATCACCGCACATAAAATGGATGTGAAGATAACCTGATCCATGTGACAGATAGACAATGAAAAAAGACACAGGGGAAAAAGCTGATGCGTTAGAACTGCGCCTCTGTGGAAGAAGACGGACCATTCCATAGGCCACTCTAAGAACAAATCTGTGTCTGTGCGGAGAAAGCACTGCTCCAACTGCAGCCCGACTGTTCCCTGGAAGAAAGCATGGCAGGACCTCGCCTCCTTCCCTTCAGACACGTTCTCAGGAGGGATCCAGCGCTGCAGCAGAACATCACTCTGGATCAAGGAAAGGGGCAGTCAAGCAGAGGGCAATGTTCAGTGAATGAAAGGGTTGCATCCGTGGTTCAAACCGTGACTGCTGTGAGGAAGGCACAAGCAACCAGTGTTTCATTAGCTGATGAGCAAGGCAGGCCAGGAAAATAACTTTAATCGGAAGATTTTGAAAATAAGATCTGGAAGCTACTGGCACTCACGCTGGGTAGAAGCAGACATCGCCTCAACAAGCAGACTTTAAATAGCCATCCGTAAGCTCAGGCGTTGCCTTCCTAGCCCTGCCAGTGTGCTGCCCCTGCAGAACAGGTGAGCTCACGGAAGGAGGCGCACCCACAGCTGTTCCCTCACGGCCTTTGACAAGGTCCCTACCAGGTGGTTTAATTGGATGTCGGGTTTCTGGTTTTTGTTCTTTTTAAAAAAATGAGTTTCTGCTCTCTTGATTGTGGCATAATTATTTCATGATATTTAACTCATTATTTCACATCATTAATATTTACGTACAAGGCTGATAACCACCAATCACACTGTAGAAGAAAAATTAAGCTTTCTGCTCAGTAAAGAGTTGCATTCTCAGAAATCCACAAGGGCAGTTCTGCCCTGTCCTATAGAGCCATTGTGTATCCACATCGACTTGATGGCAGTGAGTTGAATTTTAATACATTCGTATCAGAGGGCTTCAAAAATATGTGGAAAAAATTGAATTACAACACTGGAATTTTCCCACAAACTTTGTGAAGCACGCATGTGTGTGTGGTTGTGACTGTGTGTGAGCGGCTTTGGGGGGGGGGGCTGCAGGTTACACATTGGGCTGCTAACCACAGTGGCTCACACCTACCAGAGTCATTCAGCAGGAGAAAAATGAGGGCAGCTGTTCCCATAAAGATTCTGTCTTGGAAACCTAATATAGAGTTGCTCTGGGTGAGAATCGACCAGGTGGCAGCACATTTAGTTTGGTTTGGAGTGGTACAGTAGTTAAAGACTCAGTAGTTAACCAAAAAGACAATGGTTTGAACTCATTAGCCAGTTAACCAAAAAGACAATGGTTTGAACTCATTAGCCAGTTAACCAAAAAGACAATGGTTTGAACTCATTAGCCACTCCAGGAGAGGAAAACACTAGATATGTTTCTCCAAATACGTGACCCATACACGTTACTAGCACAAGACCAACAGGAGAGCTTTTCAGGATTTCCACCTCCATTGAGCTTGGAAAACATAACATCCAACTACCCAGGGCTGCTGGGAGGCACAGACACACACAACACTTAGGATTGTACCTGGAAAACCCATGGATCCTGTATGCATGTTCAGTATCACCACCGCAACGGGCCCAACATGTCAGCTACAGCTCCTTAAGACCTGCCATCTTCCGCCATCCCCTTCAAGCCACAATCTGTTAACGCTCCTTGAATTCTTCCCTCAAGTTCCTTGCTATCCATTCACTGAAACCTTGCAAGGGATAGAATTTACTTCAATCAACCCACTTGTGCTCCTTCTAACAACCTAATAGTGTTTAATAGTTTAGGATACATTTAAGTTTAATGGGACTTACATCATTGCAATAAATTTCTCATCACTGCTTTATAGAGGCAGTTTTGAGCAACCTGGCTAACTCAATCTCCCAGGTTCACCTGTCACACTGACCTGCCAGAGAAGGCACTTGAAGAGCACTAATCGTGCGACCTTGGCTGTGGACATTCCCGAGCTCATCCCAATGACATTCCCAAAGTTCTCTGTGCAGAACGATCACTGGTGTCTGGCAGGTTCCCAAGTTCACTGTTTGTGTTTAGCAAGGTGCTTCATTCTTGTGGATGAATAAAATATTAGTAGCGTGGAATACTAGGCCCTTGAGTCTGCCTTAAAGAAAATGACATTTGTAGAGAATGCCCTTTTACACATTTCCATTTCAAATCCCCGTTTGCAGGAGAAATTACAACCCCGAGTACTACACTCCCCTGCCAGTCTACTGTTCCCTTTAGCAATGTGCAGTTAGGAGGAAAACACAGGCCAGATCCTCAGTCCATGTTGGCTGATGCTTTACTTGCAAGATTTTTATCTGCCTTTTTTCAGTCAGAGTGGGTCAGAGGGAACACCTAAATCGTGCCATAGTCAGTATGAATAACTCAGAGAAGTCTAACTCGAGGTAGGCTTTCAGAAAAGTGGACATGAAAATGAAGCTGCAAAATCATCCCTGGAAAAAAAAATTGATACCCCATCCTAGCAGCGATGACATTCGCTTTCCTGCAGGAAACCTGTGAGGGAAATGCTGCCTTTCCTCTGGGAAGGACCCTGTGGGATGGAGAAGTCCGAGAGGTGTACACAAACAGAGGGACCCTCATTAAACAGACACACTTGCAGTACTCAGCAGTAAAGGAGGAAGATTGATGGTGTACTTAAACTTGTCAAATGAGAGGATTCAAAGAGCCCAAGAGACGTCAAGTAAACTTAATTCTAACGATTTTTCACTCAGAGGAGGTTAGTGAAATGCTATGCGATATTTCTACACTTTAGCAACTGGATCAGACTAAATACAATGCAAGAAGCAAAATATGATGTCTTACTTGACAATGTCATGATAAGAGTTTCAGAAACTTTAAAATAAAAGAGTTGCAGAAACTGATCATGAGAAATGGGCTGAAAGATGGTTGGACATGAAGAGTTGGTAGCCCAGTGACTGGCAGGCCCTTGACATCTTATAGAATGCCACTCAACCATAAACAGAAATTAAGTCCTGATGCAAGCTACAAGAGAGATGAATCTTGAAAACATCATGCTACACTAGCCATGAAAGTTCAAATGTTGTATGATCCCACTTCCTGAACACCTAGAATTGGCGAATGCAGACGAGAAAGCGGATTAGAGGTCACTAAGGAACGGAAGCAACGGGAAACCAAAGACGACCAAGCCCCTTGAGTCGCTACTGAGACGTAGCAGCCCTCGAGTACTGAGCAGAAGTGGTGCTTGAGGGCTCCAGAGACTGTAAATCTTTACAAGCACAGTCAGGCAGCCTCACCTTTCTCTCAAGTAGCAGCTGTTGGGTTTGAACTGCCAACCTTGTGGCCCAAATCCTAACCCACTGCTTAAGGGATATTTAATTGGTTTGAGGTCATGAAAGAGTTTTAAAACAGTTGGGGTGCAAGAAAGAAAAAGTTTTTTTTTTAAATGGGGAGTGGTTGTACAATATTGTGAATACAATCATTAAAGTAGAAATTTTTGATACTTAATATTTCATGCCAATTTAAAACAAGCAGCAGTCTCTGTCTAAACTCTGTGTGGCTACATATTACATAGTTTCCACCCAGACATTTTTTTCACTTGGCATTTGTTTTAAGTCCCAGGAAATCAGTGGCTCCTTTGGGAACACAGACTGCAATGAAGGTAAGAACACAACTAACCAGACAGAAGGAGCTAGGTGGCATTTTACCGTCGCGAGGAGGTATGTCACATTAATCTTCGCGTCTGATCGTGAGACCTCCCTGGGATCTGGTCTCGTACATCAAGAGAAAGATGAAGAGGGTCTGAACTTGGGCCCTCGCTACAACCTACCGCTTCTTGAGAAATCTACCCTCTGCTCTCGACTCTCTCTTCTAAGGACTCAGTTTGGTGAGGCTGAAACTGCACATTGCTTTCTCCTTTCCCCGTTTTCCATTTAGATTCCGCCGATACAGGAGGAGGCTGGGGGATGGAACTGGGACTTGGTCCTCGTGCATGTCTGACTGCCTTCCTCCTTGTCCCAATCACAGCCCTTCACTCAGGCAGTAGCCCAAAGTTCCACAAGCAGTTGTTTCCAGATTGTAGGTCAACCAGCGGTCCCTGACCAGCCTTTGAGGCATTAACACCAGCCAGGCAGTCCGGCTTCTTTACGCTCAGGTCCCAGGTCCACAGGCTCCCTCCTCCAAGTTCCTTGGCTCCTGGAGAGCCCCAATCTTTATTCCAGAAGCTGTCAGCTGCATACTGCAGTCACAGTACCTGTTTTACTCTTCATTACTTTGGGGCCCCCTCAGGCCTCTAACCCCACTGTAATCGATCCATAACACTATCTCAGTTAAGATGACTAGTCCGGCTTCTATATTCCTGAGGGGCTCAAGCAGTAATCTGTTCTTTCCATACTTTCTAGCCAATAATATGTATAGAGAAAGAAAGGCATCGATGGTTCAGTAGAAGGATTTTCACCTCCCATGAGGGAGAGACCTGGGTCTGATTCCCAGACAAGGTATCTTATCCGCAGCTACCACCTATCTGTCAGTGACGGCTTGTGTGTAGCTGTGATGCTAAACTGGCTTCAGCAGACTAAGATAAACTGGCTTTGTTATTGTTGTTTGTGTTTCTGCTGTTGTTTTTAAAATATTTTACTAATTATTAAATCTAGGACAGTCAAATCTATAGTGTCAGTAAGTGGATTAATGGTTGCTTGGGAATATGGCAGGGGAGGTTGGCGGGGAGGGGGATGGGAAGCTAACAGCGATGAGTACAAGAATGATGAAAATGTTCTAAACTTGACAGTGGTGAAGACTGTATAACTCTTCTTGGTGTGACTCAACTATTGAATTGTATGATATGTGAACTAGAGGTAAAAATGAATGCACACTTAACCTGTTGCCTTCCTACAAAACCCACACTTAAAGGTAATTTCAGGTTGGTGATCTACTTCTGAAAGCCCAGTGGAAACCCTCTGTATCCCAGTCTGATCCAAGTGATCATGAGGCTGGGGCAAGAGTTGGCAGGATTCTGTTCCATTGCCCACGAAGTCGCCACGAGACGCGGGCCACCTCCCAGCAGCAGCCACAGGGCCGAGCTGGAGCACAGACCACAGCACGCACTCATCTCGTGCAAGGCGAAGCCCTCGCTCCGACAACCCTGCAGGACACAAAGCGGGTGCTCAATTCCATTTTATTACTGAATAAGCGTGCAAATGAGCATACACGCTGCAGAAAAGTAAATCTATTCCTAAATTCTCAGGAAAATTGCTATATGCATCTACAAAAGATATTTTAATGAGTTTTGGGGGGTTTAAATGAGGGAAATGCCCAGCAACAGGTTTGGATAAATCACACATACACACATACACACACCAAAAATAAACAAACATCAAAGCCCACTGCCGAGACTGGAAATCTTTACAAGCCCAGGCAAACTTCTCCCTCTCCTCCGGAGCATTTGGTGGGTTTGAGCCACCTCTCTGGCAGTGAACAGCCCGGCACCATGCCACCACAGAGCGTCACTAAACGTCTAAGCGAAAGGAGTCAACTTTTTGATGGGGGACCTGCAATCTGAGGACAGAGTTAAACTGTTCCCTACAAGATGGGAGACCCTGCTCGGTGCACGGGGACATGGGGGAAGGCGGGGATGGGAGGGAGAGAACCCGGGAGCAAAGGGCATGAGAAGAGGATAGTTGACGTAGGCTGTTGCAGGATGTGACATCTCCTCATATTTCCTCACTGTAACAGTCAACATAACCTCCTCCCTAATGCTAGGATGGGAAAACGCTCTTTCTGCCAAATATTGAAGAGGTGCTGAGCTGATGTCCAGTGAGGCATGGGCAGAAACAGGTATCACGCGCTACGAACCCAGGTCATCTTCATGAGGCTTACAGCATCCTCTTACGCTGCCCCCTTCTCATCTTGCAGCTCCCCAAATTGAAGGGATACATTTTGTGGGTACAGCTAAGAAATGTACTTTGTATTCCAAAAGAGAATTCAGAGGTATGTATTATAAATATATGAGGCAACCACTGCTTACTAGAACCGAATGAAACCAATTTCATAAAGCACATATGAAAAATCACTCCTAATTATCCTCTCCACATATTTTAAAAGAAATGTTAAAAACAAATTCTAATTGCGCGGTATTGTTTATACTATTTGTAAGAAATATGAAGACTGAATTACAAACATATTAAGAGTAGAACTAAAAAACAAACAAACCAGGAGTTAAATTGTAGATTTGATAGATCTAATAGGTAGAATTATGAAATACTGATGGCCAAGGATATTAACCATAGAGTATAATAAATTCCCTCTTTCTATTCAAGTAAAAAAGATATTCACATCTATAAGGTTAGCATTTAGTAAGCACCTACTTGTAGTATATAAACAGCATAACTGTTGCTTTGTAAGACAGCAACAGGCTAAACATCTGCTCATTTGATACAGTTTTCTTAATCTCTTATGTAGAATGTTAAGTGCCTCGCACATCAAGATAAATTGCAAAGACCTTGCTCCCAGGACTCTCCCAGCAGCAAGAATGAAAGATACACGGCACTTGCGTCCATTCTCCCCCACATCACAACCTATGACAGGCATCACTAATCAATCACCTTCTTTCACCAGAGAAAATGGCCTCCGTCTCAGAAGCCCCATCACACAAGGCTCACAAAGGCATCTGCAACTTGCAGCTCAAGGTAAAACCTACTTGCCATCTCCAACCTGCAAGAACCAGTTGTCACTGAGTCAACTCTGATACATGGTGACCTCATGTAGATGGCAGCTGAAGATTGCCAGACCTTTCTTCCGAGGTTCCTCCAGTAGGTTTGAGCCTCCCAGCTTTTAATTGAAAACCAAGCATACTAACCAGCCAGGGACTGCAGCCTAGCATACTCAGTCGTAGCACTTCTGAAAAGAACTTGCAAAGCTCTATGTCAGCAAGTTTTATTAGAATACAGACTCATTCCATTTTCCATGAACTTTTAGAAGCCCCCTCGTATATGGGCACATGGGGAG